AAGGAGCAATTAATGAACATTCTTTGTTTCATTTCTTCTTATATTTCTGTTTTGTTCTCTCCTTTTCACTGTTTGTTCTGTACGTTCCTTTTCATTGTGCATGTGCATGTGATGCTGCCAACTTTTGTGATAACTCTGATTCTGTTGGATTTTTTAAGTTTAGTTTTGTTTTTCATTTCTCAACACCTCAGAATAGAACTGGAATAATCCTTTTCTCCAACCATATGTACCGAACTGTATAGAAAATATCAGTATTTAAAGCTTACACCTGCTTTGGCATCTGTCTAATGTAAATGGCACATCAGTGGACTAAAATGCTGTGAAATTTTAAGTGCACATACAAGCATAAAAATGCCATTAAAATCCCCTTTGGATTTTTAAAAAAGTGTGTTTGTGTGTACTGCTGCTTTTATCGAATTTTACTTGGGTTGGTAATTTAAAATGCATCTGTTTGTTAGAAAATACTTTTTTTGGTTTTTTTTTAGATTCTTGATTGCTTAACTGTACGTGATTATTTCCTTGCAGGAGATTAGTTTTTTTTAAAAGAATTCTCAGAACACATTTGAAATGCATTTGACATTATGGACAATTATTTTTATACTCCAGCCCCCTCTCTTTTGTGAACTTTCTTGAGAATGCTTGTAAGGGCAAAAAGGAGACCATAGAAATAGACTGATTTAGTTCAGCTTAGAAGTGTGTGTTTTTGTTTAGGATTGCATTGTAAGCATTGGAAGAGGCAACGACAATCTGTTTTCCATCCCATGTGTGGCTTCGAGAGCCAGTTTGGTGTAGTGGTTAAGTGCGCAGACTCTAATCTGGGAGAACCGGGTTTGATTCCCCACTCCTCCACTTGCACCTGCTGATGTGACCTTGGGTCAGTCACAAGCTCTGGCACGGCTGTCCTTGAAAAAGAGCAGTTTGTGTCAGAGTTCTCTCAGCCCCACCCACCTCACAGGGTGTCTGTTGTGGGGAGGGGAAGGGAAAGGCGTTTGTAAGCCGCTCTGAGACTCCAAGTGAAGGGCGGGGTATAAATCCAATCTCTTCTCTCTCTTATCTTCTGTTATTAACTACGTGCCCCATGCTTGTTTCATATCTATGCTCAAGGAAACACTACATCACATTCCAGATTATAACTGATATGCCATTAGGCTTGCCTAGTACCTGCTGGGGACAGCGGATCCAGTGGGCTTAGCTGGGCAGTGGCAGAAAAAATAGGGGAAAAGGAGGGGCATCGGTGTCCTAACACACTGACGTAACTCCCAGCACAACTGGAAGGGACATCAGCATGTTGCCATTGACACTCATTTGGCCAAAAGTCTATTGCTAAACCACAGAGTTTGGGCTCAATGCTAGAATGTTGACAGCAACATCATTACATCACCAGAGAGGTAGGGTTGCCAGGTACCTCCTAGCAACCAATGGGGGATGAGGGGAAAAACTGGCAGCAAGCTGAGGCCTAGGCCTCTGTTGCTGGCAACTCATTGATATTACATCTGGTGCACAGTGGGGATGCTCTGGTAATTGGGCAAAAACTCCATGGTAACAGCCAGTTTTACCATAGATTTCCCCCCCCCCAAAAAAAAAACCCCTAGACTGTCCAAGCATTGCCAGTAATGTGATGATGTCACTTCTGTTGCACTCCGGAAATGATGTTACATCGCTGGTGACATAGACTTCAGTTTGCTACTGCTAAGTCCCTCCTGGCTGGCTGAATAGTGCTGCCATTGCTTTAAATGCTTTTGAGAATCATTAGTGGTCTTTGTTTCTAGGGAGATATATTCAAAGTGCTTTTCTGCATCAGGTTATTGCTGCAGCTTGGCTTCTTAACTGCACTGTTTATCCCCATCCATTACACACAATCATTTTGCCAGTTGCTGCTCGCCAGGTTTTCCTTCCACTGTTCCCCGTGTTTTTTCAGACCACTTTTGAGGTGGTTTGAAAAAACAAAGAAACAATCATAGGACACTTCTTGGGGGTGGGGGAGAGCAACAACTGGCAACTGATGCTGTGTCTAAAGGAAGTGAAAACCAGATGTAATTGAAAAGCCAAGCTACAGCAAAAACCCAGTTTGGGAAAGCCCATATATACTCTTTTGTGGAATTTTATATTATTCAGGGTTTCCTTGACTATGCATGTACATATCCTAGCTAGTGTAGGAGTAACTGATTGACAAAAATATCAAAATTATTGAGAAAGTTCCCCACAATTTACATGCCTAATAGTTGGACATATTATCAAACATTCTCTCTTTCCATTTCCAAGTATACTCAGTGTGATTCAGGTGTTTTCACATAAGTGAGTAGGATCAAATTTGAAACAGATGTAATTCAAGAAATTGTGGTTACTAGAAAAGTCTAAAAAGAAGACTCCCCCGCCATGCAAAATAGAAAGGGTCAATGTGATGGGCTTCATAAAGAGGCTGATCCAGTTCCAGAATGACTTGATGTCCTATACCGGTTGTGGGCAAATCAGTGTGCTGTAAAAGGTGTGCTGATGCAAAGAAGAACATAGGGGAACTCTCCTTATCTGCTTGGGGAAGGGAAGTGAAGACCAATAACTTTTTCATTACATCAGGTCTGCACAAAACTGCATGTAGGAAGACTTGTGGATCAGTGGTTTGAATGTTTTGGCATGGTTTGCATTTACTTGGCATGCAGAAGGTCAAAGGTTCAATACTTGACATCTTCAGTCAAAAGGATTGGGTAGTAGGTGATGGGGGGGAGAAACCGTACCTGAGGCCCTGGAGAGCCACCAGCAGTCAAGTGTCTTGATCTACCAATCAGCAGATGGCAGCTTCATGTCTCCGTATTATAGAGGACAAGATAAATGAATCAGAAGGTGGTATGGCCAGATTTTGGTAGGAATGAGTCAGAATCATTCAGTTCCTATTGCAGAATCCTGAGTGGATCATGTTTGAATGTTTAGAAGTCATGTTCATTGTGGTGTTTTCCCCCCCAATTCAAAACATGTGGGTGGACCTTTCTCCCACATCAGATGGGTTAAAACTCTTAGAATCTATGACGTTCAACAGGACCTCCTGCCAGATTGCAGACAGACAAATTGCAGAGAGCAATGATAAAGTTTATTTGTAATAATTATGATAATGATGATGACGGCAATGCTGATGATACGTTGCCAATTAACAACTGTCTTATGGCAACCTCTCATGGGGTTCTCCAGGCAAGAGATGCACAGAGGCAGTTTGGCATTGCTTTCCTCTCCATAGCAACCCTGATCTTCTTTGGTGGTCTTCCAGGGCTGACCCTGCTTAGCTTGCAAGCTCTGACAAGCTTGGGCTAGTCAGGGCTGTTAAGGCTGCTGTCTTTGTTTTACAGGCCATTAAAATTCTCCCTTAGAGAAGGCACATGGTCACTGGTCTTTCCTATGTTTTCCCCACCCTGATTCTGAAGCAGGCAGTGAAGTGTAGTGAAGGGTTATTTCTAAACAGATTGACAAGGGATGCTACATTCTGAATGCATGAGTATGCACATGTACACACACAAACACATTCCACATATGAACCCTGCTGTAGATGCATTCATTTCAGCACCTTTTCTTTCAAACCATGTCTAACTCAACTTGTCTCTGACATCCACTAAGAAGCTGGCAGGTTGGCTTGGAGAAAATTAAATGCTTCAAACAGTGGAGCGCAGCAAGATAAGGCTCATGTGTATGCTTTGCTTCTTTGACTGAACACTTCATTTTTTAAAATGCACCCACACCCACACCCACCTCCAGTGTGCATGTGAATGAGCAGACTCATGCATAATTGGGTTCTACCCTGGGCAGCTTTTAGATGAGAGGAGATCCAGAACCTCAGACAGCAGGGTTCTTCCTCAACATGCTGGTGTGTCAATGTACACCCCACCCCACCCAATGTTCTTGGGTTTTCTGTGTCTGCATGAGCTGGTGACATTCATGCATCTAAATGTGCAATTTAGCTTTAAATTGAGGCCTGAATGTGCAATTTAGATCTGAGATCTTCATCCCGTACACTTTTGAAAGTGTTGAGTGAGCTCTTTCTGTCATCTAGCTGATCCAGTGCAACCCCTCTGTTCGGTAATTGGTCTTGGGAGTCACTCCAATATATAGCAACTGAAATGGGGACTCGGTGATAGTGTACCTAGGCTGGACCACAAAATAATGAGTCTCTGGCTGTGCAGAGATTTGAACTGGAGACATCCCAGCTCATATGCTTAACTATTATTTTGCAGTGCCAATAGTGCAGATATAGCTTTGTTTTGTGTTTTTTTACTATTTTTATCATCCTAAACCAGGAGCAATCTTGAGCATTATCCCTTGGCTTATTTATTAATCATATTTATATCTTGCTCATCCAATGGAGAACTCAGGATCAATGCTCCCTCTAAGCTGTGTGAAGTCCTGTGAGCAAAAATTCTGCTCTGTGAGCTACTGGCATTAAAGTTGTGAGTGAGTGAGTGATTTGGCTACTGCATAAGTTTGTTTGCTCTGGAGCCATCCTTCCTGAGCTAAGACAAAAATCTGTGAGCTGGAGGCTAAAAACCTGTGAGCTAGCTCACACTAACTCAGTTTAGAGGGAGCACTGCTCAAGATGGCATATATGGGGCTGTTTCAATTGTTACCCTTAAAAAATACAGTCAGATTCTACAGTGCAATATGGAGAAAAACAAACCAGACAAACTGAAAACATTGGATAAGGAGCCAGCTTGGTGTGGGGAGCTAGTGTGGTGTAGTGATTAATGTGTTGGACCAGGACCTGGAGACCCCCATTCAAATCCTCATGCCACCATAGAAGTTTGTTGGGTGACCTTGGGCCAGTCACTTTCTCACAGCCTAATGCATCTTACTGGGTTAAGAACATAAAGAAGAACAGCCATGCTGGCTCAGACCAAAGGCCCATCAGGTCCAGCATTTTGTCACACAGTGATCAACTAGCCACTTCCAGGATGCTTGTTGTGATGGTGACATGGAGAGAAGGAGACTTCTCTGAATGACCTGGAGAAAAGGGAAGGCTAAACATGTATGAAATCAATAATACAGAACCCAGTAACAACCAGAAGGTAACCTTTTTCCCCCTGATGTGTTGCTCTCCACAGCTTTCTCTGTTTTCATGCTCCCTCCACTGTTCCCAAGGTCAGACTGGAAATAGTGGGGAGAACAGAAACCAGTGTCAGGGAAGTCCTTTCAGGTAGAAAAAAAAAATCTCCAATTAAAACAACATAAGGGGAACCAAAAAATAATCACCTACAAACCCTGAATGACTTTGGACTCACAAACCTGCAGGATAGCCTCTCCCGCAATGCTCTTCCGTGACAGCTTCACTCGTCTGAGTAAAACCTTCCGTGGGGTAAAATGAGAAGCTGACCATTCATAAGCATTCTCAGTGGTGGCTCCCATAGGTTTACCAATTCCGGGGGTGGAAATTGCTGGTGATTGGGGGTAGAATCTGTAGAATGTGGGGTTTGGGAAAGGGAGGGCTTCAGTGGGGTTCAATGTCATAGTCTATGCTCTTTGAAACAGCCCTTTTCCTAAGGGGAACGGACTTCTGTAGTCTAGAGACCAGGTGAAATTCTGGGAGATCTCCAGGTCCTATCTGGAGGTTGGAAACCCTAGGTGCCCACCTTGTGGAATGGCCTGTCTGATAACGTCAGGAGGGTTTCTACTCTTCTGTCATTCCATATAATGTTCAAGAGGATATTGTAAAACATGGATTAAGTAGAATTAACAGCCCCAAGAGGACACCTTTATTACAGAATAGTCTGCTGCAATTACTCAGGCCTTGGTTGGGGGGGGGGAGATCCCAGAATTCTCAAGAAGAAAATGAAGTTTTCAGTCTGTATACTGAAAACTCATGAACTTTTAAACTTTTAAAAAAAGAATTTTGTCAAAGAGGTTCTGGAACTCTGTTCAGGAGTGTTCCCCCAGAAAAAAAGCCCTGCAATTACTATTGTAGGTGTCGACTGCTCTTACTGCATTGACTTGACCTTGTAATTGACTCTCTGTATTATTTAGAGTTTACTTGTCTTAGATCGTTTGGTGTTTGCATGGTTCCCTAATTCTGTAATCCTCTTCCTTTTGCACTGCTGTTTTATGCTGTTTGATGACATGATTTATATCTTGCAACCTGCCTTGAGTCATCATGAGAAAGGGGGACTATAAATAAACAAGCACTGAGTCAAAATCACAACCACCTATAATCAAACCACCCAAGCAAAATGGAAGCATCAGAGAGAAAAGTGGAATGGACAAATGCCATCCCTTAAAAGCATATCTAAATAGTCAAATTTTCTCTGCTCACTGAAATATGGCCAGTGAGGAGAACAAGAAAACTTCTCCAAGAAGGGCATTCCATAGCTGTGGTGCCACCATTAATAAGGACCTGTTTCCAATCCCATCACAGTTTAGATGGTGGTGGAACACAGAATAAGGTTTCAAATATCCATCTGCTAAGTCTGGGTAAGATACAAATGGGAGGAAGGGGTCCTTATCCTAGTTCAAGACCGGTGTCAACACTTGGAACTGGACCAGCAGCCATTAAAGTTACCTAAACATGTTATACTGCCTCCTTAAAACCCTTAAGAACAATGATGTAAAATGTAGCATTCTGTAGTGATTACAGAGCTGGATTAGGGAATGGAAGACCCAGTTTCACATCCAAACTTGGCCATGAAATTCACTGAGTGACCTTTAGTCAATCTTTTTTTTTTAGTTAGTTAGTTTACCTTTATTGGCATTATATTATAAAAGGGAGAACATTAAGACAAACACATAAAAAGGATCAAACACAGAATAAATCACAAATGAAAATGTCTCCAAATTACAGTATATTACTTCATATAAGAACAGCAACATATAAAAACTTTGCCACAGAATCAATTCAACAGGTACATTTGTCCTTCTTATGGAAAATATTGGGCATTGCATCTTGTGTCTCATATGTGGCCCTACATCTGAAATGTGGTCAAAACCTTATGACCACTAGGGCATGGCTTATGACCTTTAAATATTGGCTTTGGCTGCATTATAACCTTGACCCTTACAATTATCAGCTTTTCACAGAATCTGAGTTGTCACCTTGGCTAGCTACCATAGAGAGTAAACTGGGAACCTTTGGTCAATCTCTCTCTCACTTTAGCCTGCCTCACATATTTGTTATAAAGAAAAAGAATGGAAAAGACGGAACCGTTTATGCCATTCTGGAGGAAGGGTGGAATTTTTTAAAAGTGCTGGATACAGTGCTGAATTTTTAAAAACTCTGCAAGCTTTCCTGATTACAGAAGTACTCAAATCACATGGTCCTTTGAGCCTACTTCTCTGAGCATGGGCCTTTGAACATACTTCTTTATGCAATGACTTTTGTCCATTTTGTTGGGTTTTAATTATGTGCGGTGATGAATGCACACAGGAAAGTCTAAATCTTGGCTTAAGTGTGATGGTGACTTTTTAAAAAAAGACATGCATTCATTATTGTAGAATAATAAATAAGATTTGTAGCAGTATAACCTATACAGAGTTTACATTTAAAGCAAATCCATTGATCATGGCTGAATCCCCAAAGGTTTAACAGTGATTAACTTCTTCTGAAGGCACAGAGTCTATTCTCAACTTAATTTTGCGGCGGTAAGGCATAGAGAAGAAGCTCTTCCATAACAATTACATATTTTCTTCAAAGACTGTATTGTCACCATAGATTAGGTATTGGCAGCCTGTGAGCAGGATTTGGCCAGTAATTGAAAATAATTGAGATCAAGACTGAAAAACAAGGGAGGGAGAAAATTTAGAAGGGAGGAGAGAAGAATGAATGCAGATCATGAAATGAAACAAGCAAAATGAAGGAGGAAAAAAGTGTGGAAAAGAGGAAAAGACAACAAACTGATGTTTTGTTTTGCTACAACACACTAACAAGGCTGCCCCTTTGCAAGATCTGACTGTGCAGACAAAACACTGGAGCTTGGTGGAACTACAGAAAGAGGGGAAGCATAGACTGCTGAAGATAATGACCTTGTTAGGAGACTGCATCTTGGCAATGACTGAAGCAGCTATGAGCTGGGCTGACTGGTTTTGGCTTGCTCCTATGCTGGCTTAGTTGATGGGTTTATTGAGATGTGATAGGCATGATGCAGTGCAGAATGTCAGAGGTCAAAGAAGAGTAGAAGAAAAAATAATAAATGAAAATGTATCATGTGAATGCAACATGACACTGGCTTTAGGCTCTCCCACAGCTGACTTGGGCCCTGGGACTTTTGTCCCCCTCCCTTGGCAGCCCTGCTCATTAGCCCTCAGGATGATGTCCAACATTATGGAATTGACAATAATCTTCTGCCCCCCTTTCCTCCTTCTGCTGTTGTTTTGATGTAAGGCACAGCACTGGGATCCTTTTGGGGGAACGCGGGGGAACACAGTTCCCCCGGGTGAGGTGCGGGGGGGCGGGACACATGATGAAGCCCCGCCCCCTGCTTCCGGCCGCCCCGCTTCCAGCCCTCATTCAGCCAGGAGGAGGCAGGAGAAGAGGGAGGGTAAGTTGCTTCCTCCCTGCCTCTCCCCACCCCTGCCTGCCTGGGGCCAGGGAGGGCCTTGGCGGGGCTTCCTCGCACTCCCGCTGGCCTTGCAGGTCCACCGCCGGGCCCCTGATGTCAGGGGGTGTGGCATATGCTAATGAGTTATGCTAATGAGTTCCCCTAGCTCTTTTTCTACGAAATGACCCCTTCCAGCTATCAACTGAGCTGTAAGGCTGCCTAGTACCTAAGCACAACTCCTGTTATTTCTGGCTTTCTCTCCCTTTGTGGCTCATGACTAGGCCATCTAACATGGTCATGAATGCAAAGTTGTGTGGTTCCTGACAAGATGTCTTAATTTAAAATGATGCTGGCAGAAAATTAGGGGAAAGAGCCTCAAGTCCTCCTACCCAGTGGATTGCCTTGGAGCTGGGTCTTGAAGGAAGGAGGCGATGAAATGGTAAGAGTAGGGAAGTCCGGGATTAGGGCTGCCAGTTCTCAGGTGGGGGCAGGGGATCCCCCAATTTGAGAAACCCTCCCCAGTTTTTGAAGTGTCGGGCAGCAGGGGGAATGGTGGCTGTCAGGTGACACACTGGGATTTCCTTCCTCCTAGTCTCTATCGTAGCCATAGAGTGGAAGGCTAGAGTGTCACAGCTGCTGGAGAACTTCTGCTTCCTTGCACTCCCGCTGGCCTTGCAGGTCCACCGCCGGGCCCCTGATGTCAGGGGGTGTGGCATATGCTAATGAGTTATGCTAATGAGTTCCCCTAGCTCTTTTTCTACGAAATGACCCCTTCCAGCTATCAACTGAGCTGTAAGGCTGCCTAGTACCTAAGCACAACTCCTTTTATTTCTGGCTCTCTCCCTTTGTGGCTCATGACTAGGCCATCTAACATGGTCATGAATGCAAAGTTGTGTGGTTCCTGACAAAATGTTTTAATTTAAAATGATGCTGGCAGAAAATTAGGGGGAAGAGCCTTAAGTCCTCTTACCTAGTGGATTGCTTTGGAGCTGGGTCTTGAAGGAAGGAGGTGATGAAATGGTAAGAGTAGGGAGGTTGGGGATTAGGGCTGCCAGTCCTCAGGTGGGGGCAGGGGATCTCCCAATTTGAGAAAACCTCCCCAGTTTTTGAAGTGTCGGGCAGCAGGGGGAGTGGTGGCTGTCAGGTGACACACTGGGATTTCCTTCCTCCTAGTCTCTATCGTAGCCATAGAGTGGAAGGCTAGAGTGTCACAGCTGCTGGAGAACTTCTTACCTGCTGCCTCTCGTGTTTGGGACAGATTTCTCCCAATGCTCCCTCTAAGCTGTGGAGTCTTGTGAGCAAAAATTCTACTTTGTGAGCTACTGGTGCTAAAGTTGTGAGCGAGCTATTTGGCTACTGCATAAATTTGTTTGCTCTGGAAATATCCTTCCTGAGGTAAGACAAAAATCTGTGAGCCAGAAGCTAAAAAAACCTGCGAGCTAGCTCACACTAACTCAGCTTAGAGGGAACCTGGTTCCTCCTAGCTGAAGCTCCTGGGGCTGGGTGAGAAAGAGCCTGCCTAGGAAGGATGGAGGTGCACTGCA